GGGCGGCTGTGGACTCAGACCCACTGCTCCCCGTCTCCCTGTGAGATGCCCAGCACCGACTTGTGGGGGATCCTGCACTCTTGCAGAGACTTGGTGAGGTCGGAGAAACGTCTCCTGGGCACCTCCATCGTTTCAATGCTGCAGTGTCGGTAGGTGGCCTTGTTCTTGTGCTCGGCCACGGCCACGATGGTCTGCAAGTCATCCGTTGGCCGGAAGTGGCGCACGAACCTGCGGCCTGACGGGGATCGGACGGCCAGCAGCAGCCTCGGCTCTTGATCGGATGGTTCCTCCAGGTCTCCAGCCCCGGAGGAGCTCGGCCTCCTGGTTTGGACGACGAGCTTCCTCTCCAGGAAACGAGCTGGAGCTCTGGAATCTTCCTGGCTGGTCTCCATGGTGCAGGTCTCCTCCTGGTAAAGAGCCTGGATGCTGCTGAGTTGCAGGGAGCCGGCCCTTTCAGCTACGGTTTCCATGGCCCCCTCCCCCAGGGTCTTCCTGTTGATGGAAGGAAGGACCGGGTACTTATTGAGGGAGGAGGCAGCGCCCATGGGCACCTGCTGCAGCAGCTCAGGGACCTCAATGGGAGCGCCCTGGTTTGGGGACCTGGGCGCACAGGCTCCTGGCTTCTGGCTGCTTGGCGACTCGCAGGGAATGGCTGGAGGCGGCGAAGGAGGTGTGCGGTGAGAGCACACCCCCGCGTCCTGGGGTCTGTGTAGCCTCGGCCGAGTCCGTCCCTTGGCGGACTTGGGCCTTATGACGTGCATGTTCAGCGAGTCTGGCTGCCAAATGAAGCGGTCGGCTGCTGTGCTGACGGCAGGGCTGCATTCAGGGAGGGCTCTATTCACAGGGGCTTCTGTGGCCATTGCTTCTCAAGACCCCTGAGGAAGCAGGAGAAAAGAGAGGAGGCCATGATTAAACGCCCTGGCACTTCTGGATCCAGTCACAAAGGAGAGGGGCACCAGCTGCCATTCATTCATTCATTCATTCATTCTTGGACTATATCATAAACCAAATTCCTTGCAACTTACATTATCATAGTGATAAAAGACAAGTGTTAATCCTATACATGTTAATCCTATACGTAAACAGATATTTTCAAAGAGTAATAACTGCAATGAAGAAGATAAAGTATTTCATCAGAGCGTGACTCTGATTCTTAATTTGGGGGAGGGGGGGCTTTGAGCTGAGAGACCATGATGAGAAGGAACAGGCCATGTTACAACCTAGACCAGGGGACGGCTACCTTTTTCCATCAATACTTCCGGCTTTGGGAACCACACGGTCTCTGTCCCAGCTCCTCAGCCCTGCCACTGTAGCTCAGAATCAGCCACACGCGATTATGCGAAGCAGCGGTTCCAGGAGCTGCCTTTGCTCTAAAGAGCGAATGCAGCCCTGTTAAGTCACCGCTCAGGAGAGCCAGGCTCAGCTTCACGCAAGAGCTGAGGGGCAGACCAGCAAGCTGCCCCCTGCACTCCGGTAGAGGGCGTCCCGATAGCAGTTAGCTCTGGTCCAGTATTCACTGTGGACAAGCTCCCCTCTGTCCCCACTTCCCTGTCTCCCTCAGTCCTTTTCCTCTTCACCAATCTGCCCATTGCTTGTCCTTCCTGTCTTGCAGAGGTGGCTCTGCACAGATCACCCAGTGCAGTGTCCCTCCACCACCCCAACCCTTGTCACCAGGGGCGGAGGGAGAGGAGGGGGCGGCCCCATTGCTGACCCGCCCATGGGCCAGAACTTACAGGGACGTCCTCGGGTTCTAGACTAGGGCTCAGCAAACCTCTTCTGTAAATGGGCAGATAGGAAATATTTTCAGACCGTCTATCACAAGTACCCAACTCCTCCCTTTTGGCGTGAAAGCTGGCACAGACGGTATGCAAATGAATGGGTGTGGCTGTATTTAAATAAACCTTAAAGTACGGACACAGAAATTTGAATTTCATAGAGTTTTCATGTGACACAGAATAGTATTCTTCTTTTGATTTTTTTCCCCCCCAACCGCCTAAAAGTCTAAAAGCTCTTCTCGGCTCACGAGCCACACAAAAACGTGGTGGCGGGCCGGATTTGGCCGCAGGCCGTCGTTAACAAACACTGTCCTAGACCGATTGCAACGGGGACTCTGGTCGCATGCTAATCCTATAGCCACTTCCCTCTGGTCACAGCCAGCGAGCGGCAGAGCCTGAAACAGAACCCAGGTCTGTGACACAGATTCTGTTTTGAGGACCAGGCTGGGCGTCTCCCGCAGCACTGACCACATTCTGTCTCTTACTGTTACTGTTAACGGTCCTGTCTCCCCAGCGACCTTGCAAACACTTAGAGGGCCTCGTATTTGTCCCTGGCACCTGGGGTGCTCAGGAGTGCCTGTGAGAGCTCACAGGAGCAGGGTTCCCACGCACGGTGGGAGGCGGGAGCATTTCCCTGTGCTGGTCCGCAACCGCCAAATCAGATCTTTCCTTCTTTCCTGGCCATCTTGGTGGCCTTTTCACTAGCACTGTTAGAGCCACCTCCTCCTGCTGGTCCCCGGTCACAGCTTCCCAGGACACTGCTAGGTCTTGGGCTCCTGCTTCCCTCTGAATCCTGACCACCACTGTGACTGCTGTTCTCTCCGCCCACAGGCTGACCAGCCCGATAAAGACCTGGCAACTCCCCGGTGCCTCATGGTCCCAAAGCAGCAGCATGTTTGGGTGCAAAGGACACGGGCCCTGGAGTCCTAAGACCAGGGTTCTATTTCAGGCTCTGTCTCGAGCTAGTGATGTGACCACAGGCAGTGGCTCCATCTTGCTAGTAAGTCACTTTCCTCATCTATGGAATGAGCTATGTGACCCTGAAGGCATTATTTAAATACCTCCGGATCAGTCTCTTTATCTGAAACATGAAGATAGTAACATGAAATGATGTAGGTAAGGCCATGACCACCAGGCTTGGTGCAAAGTAAAGATTTCATTAAATGATTAAGGGGTTTTCTTTGCTTTTGGTTTTCTGTTTGTTTAGTGGCTTTTATTATTTTAGGTCCAAATGCCTTGCCTGTTGCTTCAGAGCTCTTCCCCAGGGTGTAGTCATCTCTAACCAGCTGGGTGAATCACAGGACTCATGCCTGCCCCGCCCACTGCACAGAAATGCCAGAAGATGGATTTCAGTGGGCTACCACCTATTGAAATTGCCCCCAAAATATGAGATCAATGCTTTCTAATAAATCCCTTCTAACTCCATGCTTTAATCTTAAACACTTCAACTTCACTTACTCCAAGCTCCCTTCATCATGAAATCCTGAACAACCGAGTACCGTTCTGTGGGCCCTGCCATCTTGCCTGATTTTAGGGAGTCTCCTCTTCCTCTCCATTAAAACCACAACCGGACAAAACATGCTCCCCCTGGATTTTCCTGAAGTCCTACTCAGTGCAAAATCTTGAGCAAAGCTACCCTCTCTCTCTCTCCACTTAACAGCCTGTTTTTTCCCCATTCTGCTCACAGACCCAGTCTTCCTAACACTTCCATTTCCCACTTCTCACTCGTCTTTCACACCCCATCTGGCGGCTGGGAGTTCAGGAGCCTTCTCGTTGGCATCCAAACAGCAGGCCCGTCTCCGTAACTTAATCTATTTTCTGATCAACTGTGAAGAATGTGCTGGGGTTTTGTTTCCCCCTTTTAGTTCAGTTCTAACGTCTTTCACTTGTCATTAAGCGATCACGCACTTTCACTCAGGGCAGCGCGAGGACGTCATGATTGTCCAACTGTTCTGCCCAAGACAAGCTCAACCGGCACATCCACTCCCCCTCTCTGCCCACCCTCCCCCTTGCGGAATGGCTATTAATTTGCCACAGTTTCCACAGAGTTATCACAGGCTTGGCTTCCAGCTCCCACACATGCCTGGGGAAGGTTTTACTGTCAGGGAGTTTGGTAACTTAGAAACCTCTTCCTTAACAACTTTGACGAGCAGAGTCATGTGTTCTCTGCTGGGTTATTTTTAACAGTGAAGCTCGAGTCTGTGCATGCACTTTCCATACCTCTCGGTACCATATAATTATCCATGTTCAGGGGGTGTCATAGTCAAGACACGCTGGTCATAAGCTAACATGACGGCGAGCTATCTCAGAGGAAAACCTCAGTTGTGACTAATTCCTGTCAGCCCACTCATGGTTATTTAGGGACTAACACCTCCTTCAGGTGAAACCACTCCGTCGAACCTGCTTTCATAACCCACTGCCTCCTCCCAAGTGCAGAGACCATCTGCTACGTGGCGGGAACACCAACTCTCCCGGCATCGAGAACATGGAGAGGGGAGGTGGGGCAGGCAGGTGTTTGGGGGCCGCGGCCAACTTCATGCCTTTGTATTGGGTCCAGGACCGCTGCCTGCCCCACTCAGCCGAGAAAGGCTTGTGTGGGCGCCATCATTATCCCTGCTCGGCTCATTTCACCACCTCTAGGCCCGGCAGACACAACCACAAAGTGACTTGACAAGATCTAGGTGTAGGCATCCATCGAGCTGCCAGCTGAAGAGGCAAGTGGCCTGTTTACTTAAACATACAGTCTGGCCCAGGGGCCTGCTAGGAGTCAGGAAACAAACACTGAGAACTGCTTCCAAGGAGCTGCCAAAAGGGCAGGTGAGCATTCCTTCGGATTAATCACCAAGTCAACTAGAAAGAAGGAAAACGCGACAGGGGACGCTATCGCCATATTCCTGCTTTCCCGGGGCCCGCCTCCCACCCACCACAGGGTCAGACCACCCTGCTGCACTCACAGCCCAAATCTAAATCGACAGTAAGTGCAATAAAATATGACCACCCACATACCGGCTGCTGGGATGTACTAAGGGTGCATACATGTGAATTGGTCTTTTAAAAATATTTATCAGTTAATACTCTCCCCCTGCCAATTCCCACCCCTCCTATCGATGCTTTCGGGATGAAACCGCTCAGAAGAACCAGCAGGAGATGGCAGCTGGCCTGAGCATGAGAAAGCTTTGGTACCATTCCCAGTTCTCACCAGGACTCATGATTAGAAGACACTGTCCTGTGCCGAGTGCCACGTGTGAAGGGGGCGTGGAGAAATTGGCCCACCAGCCACCAAGTGATCCAAGGTTTGGAAAAGGAGCTGGGAATGACTCCCAGGTGAATGGGTAGGTGGAGGGGGACAGCTCGATTGTCTCCAAGAACTGGCAGCTCCCCAGGGAAACCAGCCTCAGCAGCTGGAAGAGGGGTTAGGGGCGGGGCAAGGAAGAACTTGCAGAAAGTGAGAGCCGACTTAGGCGACAGAGTGCTGGTCTGGGGGAGGCTCAGAGCTGGTTCCGGTCTCTCCATGTGACGGGATGTCCTTTTGTCCCTCGGGATCTGTGTCCTGTCTGTACTGCCCAGCCAGGAGGGCATGGCCCGGCGGTTCCCTAGGCCCCTGGCTGCCGCAGAGCCCCGGAGTTGTCCTACTCCCGCAACGGTGAGCTCTGGCCGGGCTGGCTTTGCCACTGGGGAGTAGCCCCCCCATCTCGGGGCCCCTGTCCTGTCTCCCAGGGTTCGCCCAGCCCAGCTCGGGGTGGCCCGCCTGGGCGGCGTGTGGGAGGCTCGGGTCTGGCCTCTCCCGGTCCCTTCCGTGCTGCAGGGGGCCCTGAGCTGACCCTCTGGGCCAGCGGGGGGCCACGCTCACCTTGCCTCTCCGCTCCATCCGCGGCAGTCGCGGGCTCGTCCCGCTGGTAAACAGCCCTGGTCTCCCGGGCAACCGAGCTGGTGGGGGGCCACGTGCTTCCGGTCTGGCCCCGGAATAGGCCAGGCCCTGCTGAGGGGGTGAAAGGGGTGGGGGCCCGGTGCTGGGCGGAGGCAGGGTAGGCGGACCTGGCGGCCCTCACCTGGCTGCCTGCCTGGTTCCCATCTTCCCGGAGAGCGGGGAGAGCGCCCTGCCCGGTTCTGGTTCTGGCCTGGGCTGGCGGTGAGGAGCGCCCGCCGCCTCTAGCCCCGGTTTGTGACCTTGGGTCAGGCCTGACCCTGCCAGTGTCCCCAGTTTTTAGATGAAGCTGCTGCACTAACTGATTCCTGGTGACCCTAGAATCTGAGCGGCTGCTCTTAGGGCATCTGAGTTGGGGAGCCCTTGTCTGCCTTATCTGTCCTCGTGCAACTCTTTCAAGACCAGATCCCTGACCTCCTCATTTCCACATCCCCTCTGGGACCTTGTTTTCAACGACATTGACACTTGCTTTGACCTTCCTGACGATGACCTCTTACCCTTCCAGCAACTCTTACTGCATTTGTCTTTCAACATCACGGAGGCTCCAGCCCCTTGCCCTCTCTGCTTTCTTCCTGCCTGACAACCTGCTTCTTCCCTGGTCCACCCCCTCAGCCGTTTTCTTGCAAGAATCCTCCAGGCCCCGTCTACTGTCTTTTCATTCCTCCCACTCCCAGTCAGCCCACTGACACCCGGGTGCTGAAGAGATCTTGACCAGCCACATACCACTGAATAATGGAATGATCTCCAACCTAGACTGACGCCTCAACCCACGCAGAAATCCTTCCACGTTCCCCAGCGCAGTTCTGTCTCCTTTCTGCTCAGTGGCTCTTTCAAACCTGTTCTCTCTCCCTAAGGCCCCCACCTCTCCCTTCCCTCCTCCCACTCAGAAGGTAAACTTACTTCTCTCTTCAGAGAGAAAATAGAGGCCATCAGATGGAACGGTTCGCAGCTTTCTGCCATCAGCCCTACCAACTTGTCTACTTTTGTCTCCCTGCTGTCCCCTCTCCCTCCTGTTTTAATGCAGGGGATCCATCCTCTGATTCTGTCCAAGATCGACTGCTCCTCCGTGACTTCCCAGAAGCCTGTTCTCTGTCACAGGCCACGCGAATGCACACCCTCCCCACAGTGCAGGACTTGGCTTCTGCTGGCCCCTCTGCTTAGAAGATTCTTCTCCAAACTCCCCAACCCTTCCTTCCTTTCCTTCACCTAACGCTCACTTACCCTTCAGAACTCCATGGGTGAAGTCGTCTTTCTTCCACGATGGAATTAAGATAGCTTCAGAAGGAGTCCTAACTGGGCTGCGGTCTGCCAGGCACTGTTCTAGACCCTTGGAATATGCAGGTGAATAACTTAGTGACTATAATACAAAAAGATAATGTTAGTAGATATTCAAGAACCATATCAGAGGAAAGAATCAGGGTTCATTACCCAGCATTGTGGCAAAATATTTGCTACATGAGCATGACTCCAGCCCTCCTCAAGATGTTTACATTGGGTCGAGAAGACACCCAGAGAGTTTATTTTCGGATTATTTTCAAGACAGTTGGAGCCAAGTGTGGAAGAGCAGGCATAGGCTGGACGTGGTTATGTGCTAAGTGCTTGGCACCGACAGAAGGTCTTTGGGGCTGCGAAGGAGGTGATCATTTCAGCAGGGGTGTTCCTGCCCATCTCAGGAAGCGCCTCATCTGTGGGAGGTGAGGGCCTGGGCTGGGCAGACTTCCTGCTACGGTCACCTCATTGCCCATCCCGGACACTCAGGGTGGGATCTGAGGCCCCAAGAAGGTACAGGAGGTGGCAGTTTGGGGAGCTGAGAAAGGTTTGCAACTCTGGGCTGGTGGCTTAGTTCCTGTATATGATTCTGTCAGAAATAGCTAAGCAATGCGCTTCAGCCCTGCAACACCCACCCAGGAAAGATTAAAGTGCATTCTTCATCAGCTATTTTAATATCACCTAAGAATTATGCAATCTTTTGGAAAATCAAATTGGCTTCTCGCCCCCTTTGAGTGAGTGTGTGTGAGTGTGTTTGTGTGTGTGTGTGTGTGCGTGCCCACGCGGGCAGGCAGTGAAATGGTGCTTGTGCCTAGGTCTGTTTAATATCTGCAGTGTCTTTTGCTTCCTGGTGCCATGTAATGCCCAGCATGAAATGAGAGGGAGGCTGGAGGGAAGGAAAGGCAGCTGGCCAGGCAGTTGCTGGGCCTGCCTGCTCTTCAGGGAGAGAGCTGCCTCTGCTGCCTCTCTCTCCCATCTTTCTTTAAAGAACGTGGCCACAAAGGACGGGCCCTGATGTCACCTGCGACGTGGGTTCTCAGTAACGTGGCCAGAGGTCGCTGCCATGCCAGCTCTGTGGAGACTCTCCCTCCTTCCCAGCCATGGTTCCCGCTCCTCCCCAGCTCTCTCCCCCAGCTCCAGCCAACTTGTTTCCCAAGGGGAAGCCTGGGCCCTCGGGTTTTTCATCTCTAGGGTCTTTGCTCATGCCTGCCCCACCCTGCTCCCTTCCTTGAAGTTAATCCAAATTCGCTGACCCCTTCAAGGCTTGTCTTAAAAGTTACCTCTTTCGTGCAGCTTTTCTGGAACACCTTTTCTCTCCTCACACCTCATGTGCCTTTTCGGGTCCCTTTTGGTCCATTAGAACATGCCCAACCACAATGGCACCGTGCACCCTCACCATTAGAGTAGCTCCTCTCATCTTCATGCCTGGCACTTCATCTGTATCCGCCGATGGGACCATCATAGGTGCTGCGGGCATGGACTCTGTGGTCAAGTTTGAATTTCGGCTGCACCACTTGCTAGCTGAGAACCTTGGGTAACTGGTTTAACTTCTATGGGCCTCAGTTTCCAGATCTGTAGAATGGAGATGATAAGAATAGGATTGCTGTAAGAATAGGATTGCTGTGTGAGATGATAAAAATAGGTGCTTGGCAAATGAGAATTAAACTAATAATATGGTGATGCCAACTCCACGGCTGGCTTTTCCCTTGAGAGATCTAGCAAGCCACCAGTCGGTATCCCCCCAAGGATATCTGGTTGCTTGCAGTCTAAATGACCTCCCCCAGGGCTGGGCTGAAGGCAGGAGCTTATGTGCTTTTCACCTTTGCAGTCCCTGGCAAGATGAAACCTTTTCTGGGTGACACAAAGTCCATAATTGTGCTCCAGGAACAATCCTGTTGATGTGGCTAGACACTTTCCCAAGCTGGATCTCTATCATGGACCTCAGAGATGCCTTTAAACTTGGGAATGGAAGAAATGCCGACTCCTCAGGAGAGAGAGAAAAAGAAAAACAAGATGAAGGGTTGGTGTTGCCAAAGAAAGACATGTTTAAAAAACCACAAAACTTGCACTTTTTAAACGACTGCAGCCTTCTTTATCTTTATCCTTAGGTCTCACTACCAGAAAGAGTGTCGTGTTAGGAGATGGTTAGGGTTAAAGAGCTCTCTGCTCTGGGATCTCCTCCCAGGGCCTTCCGAGGTCGGCCCTGCAGCTGGGGCTTTGTGCCCACATGGACTCCCCTCACTTGGTCATTTCCTCCCCTCACAGGCGCTCACCTAGCCGCCCCCTGGCGACCCGAGGAAGCTGTGATCGCGGCGCCTCGGACCCCCTGGTCCCCTCGGGAATGAAGGCCCTCGGGGTGCTCCTGGTCTTCACGTCCTGCTGTAAGTAGTGAGCGGCGGGCGAGTTTTGGGGCACTGTCCCCCGGCCTGTGTGTCTGTGTCTGTGGGGCGGTCCCTCCTGAGGTGGCATTGGGCGAGGGGGAGTCAGATGTAGCTCAAAAGAGAACCAGGAGCGGAACAGGCTCCCACCAAAGCCCTCCTGCTTGACCCCAGTGTTGGGATCCCCCCAAAACTTCTGGGAAATCAAAGGTTGCAACTGTTTGCTAAGAAAGAGGGCGCTGGACTCTGCTCTCCCACACACGCCCCTTCAGGAGTCTTTCCTCAGGATGCTAGTGAAGGTGAATTCACTTTTCCTACCTCTGAGCTTTATTGAAGATCGTGTGGCTTCTAGAACAAAACCGCAGACATCCAGCTAGCTAATTTAGGAACAATTCTTTCCCATCAGAAAGGCATTCTTCTGGTGACTTGTGGAGTAACTGGTAATCGTGAGTCATCGCTCTCAGCGGGTCAGATGGCACACCTCTATTGTTGGTTCTATTGGAAGCTCTTCGACTCTTGGATTAGTTGTGTAAAGATTTGTCTAAATCCGTTTTCCTATCTGTTTCAGCTGTGAGCAATCACTGTTGAGTCCCTAAGTCAAAATGTCAAAATGGGGTTCTCATTTTCTCTTAGCGGTGGACTTGACAGTTTTCAAGATCACGGTGTGGGGGGACCGGCAGTGCCACTTCTGCACCCCCGTGGTGTGCCCAGAAGGTTCCGCCCTCTCTCTGGGGGACGTTCGGACAGCAGTGACGGGCTCCTCTTTCGTGCGTTGTGACAAGATATCCAAAATCTCAGTATGAGATGGGAAGGCTCCTGGGAAAATTTCCCCAAACCCTCTCTCTCTGTTTTTCTTCTTCAAGTTCATGCTTTATTTTTATGGCAAAATTAAGATATGCATGTAATTAAAAAGTAAAATAAGTGAGTGGAGAGTAACAAAATAGAGCCCCCTCTCATGCCTCCCAGACCCCCAGCCTTCTCCTACACCCAGATCAACCATTTATAAGAGTTAGGTATATCCTCCAGGACTTTGCACACACACATTTAATACATTTCAACAGAAAAGTAAGACATGCGCATCATGAAATAGAATCATACAGCATAAAAGTTAAAATGAACTCTGGAATATCTTATCTAATAAAGAGGGGCTATGCAAATTGACCTTCATGCCATAATGGACAAGATGGCTGCGCCCACAGCGGAGGCAGGGATTTCGTAACACAATATGGCTGGGCCCACAGTGGAGGCAGAGATTCCATAACACAAGATGGCTATGCCCACAGCAGAGGCCGATTTCCTATAATGAGCCTTAACGAGCAATCAGCAGGGACCTGAGGTTGCATGGTGTTGAGCCAGGGCAGGGGACCTGAGGCTGTGCCCCCTGCCCGGGGGGCTTGATGGGTCTAAATCTTGCCCAATGGGGGTGGGGCCAACCAGGTCTAAAGCATGCGCATTTGGGCGGGGACTTGACTCCGGGTCCCGCAGCACACCCCAGACTCTGACAAGAGGAAGATTTTCATAGACATTTTAGTAATTTTCTTTCATCTCTGACAATGCTATTATAAAGGGCAAATAGCAATATTAAAATATTTCCTCTAATTAATTCCCTTTTAATGTGCACAAATTTCATGCACCGGGCCACTAGTATAAAATAAAATGTTGCCTGTTTTTCTCTCCACCTGCCTCCTCAATCCCATTGCCTAGAGGTATTGCTACTAAAAGTATGTTTTTGCCCAGCTGGTGTGGCTCAATGGTTGAGCACTGACCTATGAACTGGGGGGTGGGGGGCGGTCACAGTTTGATTCCCGGTCAGGGCACATGCCCGGGTTGCGGGCTTGATCCCCAGTGGGGGGCGTGCAGGAGACAGCTGATCAATTATTCTCTCTCATCATTGATGTTTCTATCTCACTAACCCTCTTCCTTCCTCTCTGAAATCAATAAAAATAATAAAATAAAAATTTTAAAAAGTAGTATGTTTTCAAGGCATCATATAGTTTTTATCCCCTGTCAGTGGTTATGTGGGTAGTTTTCTTTTTATTATTATTATCTATTCTAATAAAAGGGTAATATGCTAATTAGATCAGGAGATCTTCCGGACAAAGCCATGGTGGCAGGGCCGAGGCAGAGGTAGTTAAGGGTGATCAGGCCAGCAGGGGAGGGCAGTTGGGGGTGAGCAGGCTGGCAGAGGGGGCAATTGGGGGCAATCAGGCTGGCAGGCAGAGTGGTTAGGAGCCAGCGGTCCCGGATTGTGAGAGGGATGTCTGACTACCGGCAGTCGGACATCCCCCGAGGGGTCCCAGATTGGAGAGGGTGCAGGCTGAGCTGAGGGATACCGCCTCCCGTGTACAGATTTCGTGCACCGGGCCACTAGTTATTGATAAGAGAGAGAGAAACATTGATGTGAGAGAGAAACATCCATCACTTGCCTCCCATACCCGCCCTGACCAGGGATTGAACCGCAACCTGGGTATGTGTACTCTGACCGGAAATCAAACCTGCCACCTTGTGGTGTACAAGATGACGCTCCACCTAAGTGAGCCACGCTAGGCAGGGCAGTTTCCAGTTTTTTGATATCACAGATAATGCTGCAGCAAACACACACATATATATTTCCCTCGACTTTTGGAAGCATTTTTTAGAAGTAAAAAATGCTGGGTCCATATGTATTTGCCATTTAAAAGAAAATGGATGAGGTTATCTTTTCTGCTTCTTAAGTCTTTTGCTTCTTCTGTGAGATTGTAAATGCTCTATGACATTTGTAGGGATTGGCATTTCTGGCCTTGAACTTTTCCCGTTAATGTTGAACATCAGGCTGAGGGCGTTTCTGCAAGGGGGGGGGGGTACTTTGGGGGAAGACTGTAGTTGTCAATGTGTCAATGTTGTTCTCAACATCATGGAAACTGGGTTGTCATCCTGGACTAGCAAGAAACCAGCTGTGCGCTGCGGTAGATCTGACCCCGTCTTCTTCCCCATTAAGGGGCCGATGGTCCCAGCGAGCCGATGCACCATGCACAGGGGCTCCTGGTTCCCCGGATGCCAGGCTCTCATGGCATTGTTTCTTCTTCCTGATTTTCTCCTTGGCAGTGGTAGCCCCCACCCACAGCAGCTTCTGGCAGTTTCAGAGGATGGTCAAGCACATCACAGGGCGGAGTGCCTTCTTCTCCTACTATGGCTATGGCTGCTACTGTGGGCTCGGGGGCAAGGGGACCCCCGTGGACGACACCGACAGGTGAGTGCAGAAGCGCCAAGGCCTCCCGGCATTTAATTTGCATTGAAATCTATGTTTGCAGGAGGGAGTGTATCAGGGCTCTTGCATTGCCAGTAACAGAAACCCATTCAGGTGAGAGTGAGGAAAAAACGGAATGGGAATTGGAGGGAGAACTCAAGGTCCAGAAGATCGGGGCCAACTTCCTGCACGTGTGGCCCCTGCGGCATTCCCAAGGACCTGCACCGTCTGGAAATTCCTGTGTTTTCATTTGGCAGCAGGCCTTGCAAATTATGGAGTCAATCCTGCTCAGAGCTCTAGAAACATTTTCAATTCTCACGGCAAACGTGGTCTTCTCTCAGCTCCCCAGTTTTTGGATTATGGGCGCAGCAAGACTGACCCACTGCCTCCCAATCCTAATTCCGTATTCTGGGAGAGGGAATCTGAGGGCCAGTTTGGAAAAGTCAGGATTTGGACAAGAATTTGCTTGTTTTAAAGTCTGGGCCCTTTGATGCTCTGTGCCCTCCTTGTCCAAGTTCAAAGGCAGATGAGAAATAACACTATTAGCCAAAGATGACAGGTGGCTAAGAGCCTGCTTGTGGGCAGGGATGGGGAGAGGGGAAGACTGAAGTACTTCCTTTTCCACGTCTTGGGTCCAGTCCCAGGTTTCTACATCCCTGCCCCTTATACACTGATTGAAGAAGTGAGCCGCTCCCCAGCTACTTCCTCCACTTGAATGTTCTCCCTTTCTGCCACCCCTCGATCCCCGCCCCATCACTCTGAGCACCATGAATGCAAGCACTAAAGCATGATGTGTTTTTGCTGACAACTGCCTCCTCAGAGACTATCACAGTACTTGGCATATAGTACGTGCTCATAAAAACCATTACATGAATGAATGAGGACATAGAACTATAGGTGAGCCCAGAGCTGTCATTTTCCACCTCCGATTCTCATTTCCTCCCCTATGAAAGGGGGACAATGATGGTATTTCCTAGGGTTAGTGTGAGGAGCTAATGAGATAGGTCCCGGACAGACCTCATTAATTGTTAGTGGTTACTCATATGATTTTTAATATTATCATTAGTTTACCTCCTTACCTTCAGCGCCTTCTTGTCCCGGGGGAGGAGGCAGGTGAATCCTTTGCACCAGGGCCTCCAGCTGACCACCCCCTCCCCCAGGGCCCACCCATGGTAAAGCCCCTCCCCGCTCTGGTCTGGCCCCCAGGTGCTGCCTGGCCCATGACTGCTGCTACGAGAAGCTGAAGCAGCTGGGCTGCCAGCCCTTGTTGAGCAGCTACCAGTTCCACATCGTCAACAGCACCGTGGTCTGTGAGTAGCCTCCCTGTGGGGAATGTCTTTGAACCTGAGCCTTCCCTGAATGTCCGCCTCCTCCTGAACCCAGAGAACATTTAGGGAGTGAGACTTGCCCAAGTGCTTTGAGATGCAAGTGGTAATTCCGAGAACCAGAGCTTCCTGGGAGTCCTTGCTGTGTTTCTCCTGGTTGCTCCCGCCCACAGCTACACCTAGCGCCCTCTGGGAGCACGGAGCCAGTGCATGTAGTAGGTGCTCAATAAACAGTTGTTGACTTGAGCTTATGTTGGCTTTTGCAACTGTTGCTGCTGCGAACCTTCTCCTTATGTCGGTCGTGAGTTGACGAAGCAGCTCAGCTGTCTTCCAGTGGAACAGATATTTGGTCAGGGGTCTGGCATGCCAGGCACTGTGATAGGTGCCATGGGCGACGCAAAAGTACATAGGGGGGTCGGGGGAAGGGAACTCACATGTGGTGGAGGCCACTCAAGGAGGAGGGCAAGTACTGAGTGTCCAGCACGTGGGGAGGGGCCCTGATATCTCAGGGGATGTTCTGGGGCTGCTGGGGTGTGGATATGTGTAGGGCAAGTTCAGTCTAAAGAGCAGCACCCTTGAAAGCCCTGGGCCATAGCCTCCTTGTGAATGCCACTCACTGTGTGACCTCCCCTGCGAGTGCGCGACTCGCCTCCTCCTTGCCCGGTGGAGGAGCAGGAACCCCTTTCCTTCCCTCGCGTGTTTATTCACAGCCGTGAGTGTGTCTTCAAGTTCGTGTCTCCTCCTGAGGTCAGGGAACCACTCTCTCTCTCTCTCGCCCTCATCTCCGCTTGTATAGGGTGTGCTCAGTGCCCCCACCCAGAGTTCTGGCTCAGGACACACCACGGTGGACCCTGGTTCCGGTGGTGAGACCTGAAACGCAGTGGGCTGAGAGCTCAGGCCCCTGCTTCGGGAGGGCCGGCTTCAGTTCCGTCTGCTTCTGGGCCTCCATAGCACCTGTCCCCAGGCACATGGTCAATGAGACCCCAAGGCCATGTCCAAGGAGATGGTAAGGGATCAGGCCTCATACAAGGGCAGAGGAGGGGGAGCGGGAGAAGGTTGCCCCCAAGGTATTGTTTGCTGTGGCCTCTGATGCCCTCTGGAGGCCAGACCAAGTTTCTGACCACCTCCTCCCACCCCTCTAGGCCCCACCTAGGGATGTAGGGCAGGGGTGGGGAGAAGCCTGGCAGCTGGTTGGTGAGGGAGGGGCACACCGCAGAGATGCCCCCTGGCTCTTTTCTCAGCCGGGCTCGCTGTCTTGCTGTCTGTCTTCTCACTGGTTTCTCCTCGCCTCTTTTCGTCTTGATCTTACCATCTGTCACGTCAAGTGTTATCTCAAATGGTTGGAAAGGCATCAGTTTTAGAGAAAATGTACTCAGGGACCCCTCTCCTCTGATGTCCCGTAAAGCACAGGGACCGAGGAAGAGGGAAAAGGTGCCCTGGGGAGGGAAATGGAACGTCAGTAGCTGCAAAGGACCTGCCACCCCCACTCCTTCTCCCCCACCCCCACATCAGTTCCAGGCCTAGACCATGCCTCTGCCCTGGGCTGCGGTGGGCTGGCTGTGCCCACGAGGGCCAGCCTGGGCACTCCGCACCTGGGGAAGCTCCCTTAACAACCCTCTTCCCCTCTTGTGTCGGGATCTGAGCCACAGCCCAGGACCCCAGGAGGCGGAGGAGATAGAGGAGAGTGACTGGGAAAGGAGGCTGGAGCCCCAGGTGGTGGCATGCGGAACTGTCCTCTGCTTGGCACATGCTGAGTGGTGGCAGGAGGTGCAGGCAGGGGCTGGGAGCTGGACAGTTGCTCCTGAAACTTAATCAGGGCTCCCAGAGGACAGAGCCCTGCTCAGGGAATTAGCATGCAGGGACACTTCCCTGTCACCACCAGGATGTCAGCATCCCACTCCTCAGCTGACCAGCCAGTGAGTACCAGGCCAACCCCCTCTCATCCTCACCCCACCTTGCCAAGGCCCTGATCCCTGGGACAGGGCTGAGACCTGGGTGATCTGGGTTCTAATCCCGGGTCTGTTGCTATAGGTGCTGAGACCTTAAGGGAGACCCATGGACCTTCATTTATTTGCCCTGTGATGACTGAGTGCCCTTTGGGTGCCCACCAAGGGCCAGCACTGTGCCAGGGACCAGGGACGCTGAGCAAGGCAGCCTCAGGCCCTGCTCTCTCTCGGTATTCTCTAGGGCTGAAGGCGCCCTTAGGGACCATCCAGACCATCCCTTCATAGTAGTGACAGGGAGGCTGAGGCCCAGAGAGGAGAAAGGCTTGATCCAGGCAACAGGCAGGGTTATGATACCTGTGTTCTGAGTTTTCCCAGGCTCTGGAACACACTGCCTGGCCTGGGTTTTCTGGGCCTCCGTCTCCTCATCCATAAAATGGGTATAATAACAACAGCGTCTCTGACAGCACCTGGAACCCCCATGACAAACCTTTGAGGTGGGCATTATTCTCCCCATTATCAAGGAGGACCCTGAGGCTCAGAGAGGTTAAGGGAGATGGCCAAGGTCACACAGCCAGGGAAAGTTGGGCTTTGGACCCAGGTGCTCTGACCCCAGAGCTGGTGCTCCTGCCTCACACTGCCCTTCCCAGTGGCAGGGGGCCGTCGGGAGGGTGATGGGTGCACTTGATTGGAGACCACATAAATGTGTCTTGCTGTCTGCAGCACACCATCAGGATGCTCGGCCCTGGCCCCGGGGGCAAAGAAAGGCCGCTGCCCCAGATCTCTCTGTTCCAGCTCCGTGTGCCCTGCTCAGAGGCCCAGGGAGAGCAATGCTTTGGAGGGAGGCAGAGCTGGGTCCGAATCCCAGCTTCACCCCTTCTGGCTGGATAATTGCAAAACCACCTGGGCCTTTACCATCTGTAAAACGGAGATGATCATATGCACTTCATGAGGTCCCTGGAAGGAGTGGCTAAAGTGACCCAACTAAAGGCTCTGGCCCACAGCCGGTGCCCTTCCTGTTAGAAGCTGAGATTGCTTTTTTATCCCAGTTTTCTTTTCCCCTTTACTCTGTGGGATTTTCTCTATTACTATTGAGAGACTTCTTTGAAGCATCTCCTTGAGCTAAAGCCATGAACCCTCTATAGAATAAAAGCACCCCCCCGCCCCGCAACCCCAGTTACACTGCAGTTCAAGAGCTGCCCTACAAGGGTTAATCGCCTCCCCAACCTCCAGTTCAAAATCCTGCCCCCAAGCCCAGTCCCAGGTTGCCTAGCAACCAGTGGCTGCTCTGGGATGCAGTTGGAGAGCAGGGGAGGGAAAGGAGAAAAACAACTTGCTCTGTCCATGCCTCGAAATGTCACTGGGAGATCAGTGCAGAGATAGGCCTGCAACCCGAGCCCTGGGGCTAATTTGCCCCTTGAGGAAGGCTGCTCTCAGCAACCGGGGAGGCAGCTATCCCTCCTTTGAGTGGGCTTGCATAAGCACCTGGCATTTGCAAGGGACTGTAAGATCAGCCCCGGTGACAGCCCCTGTCACCCACACATGCATGCATATGTTGTGCAAGGAGGAACCTGGCCGTGGGAGGCAGAGACCAGAGACCGGTTGCAGCCAAGGGGACTTCTCCCTCTGCCAACGGGGGACAGGTGAACTTGGTAGCCATTGGATGTGTTGTTTGCAGAGGTCTTCCTCCTTTGCTGCTGAGTTCATTCCTCACCACACCGCCATTCCCTGACACATCACCATGTTTCTCTCCCAGCATTTGTCTCCACCTGAAATTCTCTGGGTTAACTTTTGTGTCAAC